CCCCATAGTAATTCATCCCCCATATAGTAATTCATCCCCCATATAGTAATTCATCCCCCATAGTAATTCATCCCCCATATAGTAATTCATCCCCCATATAGTAATTCATCCCCCATAGTAATTCATCCCTCATAGTAATTCATCCCCCATATAGTAATTCATCCCCCATATAGTAATTCATCCCCCATAGTAATTCATCCCCCATATAGTAATTCATCCCCCATATAGTAATTCATCCCCCCTATAGTAATTCCTTCCCCATATAGTAATTCATCCCCCATATAGTAATTCATCCCCCATAGTAATTCATCCCCCATATAGTAATTCATCCCCCATAGTAATACATCCCCCATATAGTAATTCATCCCCCATATAGTAATTCATCCCCCATATAGTAATACATCCCCCATATAGTAATACATCCCCCATAGTAATACATCCCCCATATAGTAATTCATCCCCCATATAGTAATTCATCCCCCATATAGTAATACATCCCCCATATAGTAATACATCCCCCATATAGTAATTCATCTCCCATATATAATAATTCATCCCCCATATAGTAATTCATCCCCCATATAGTAATTCACCCCCCCTATAGTAATTCATTCCCCAAAAATAATTCATCCCCCATATTAAGTCCCCAAGTCCCCCCCCCTGTGTCAATTCACTTACCTTTGCTCCGCGCGTTCCTCTCGCTGTATTCCCGCGCCGTTCCGGTCTTCAGGGCGGACTGTGAGAGGAGCCTAGCTCCTCTCACGTTCGTCGCGCTGCCCCGCCTACACACATCCTGACAGCCAATCACTGGCTATCAGGATGTGAGTGGCAGCGAGACTGGCCAATCATTGCATTTGAGTCCCTGCCGCCCGAGAGGAGGGAGGGGAGCGGGCGCCCGGCACACAAGAGCCGCGGCTTGCCGACCACTGGGCTAAGCGATGTTGCGTGACCACCTGCAGCCAATGATGGACAAGCGGGGCATGTCATCACAAATCATATGATGAGTCGGGTGTGAGTCACCTCCGCCGAACCCCCGAGACTGACTCACCGAACCCCTGGGGTTCGATCGAACCCAGGTTAAGAACCACTGATTTAATCATTTCTGAAGCCTGCTGTTTCCCTGTGTCAGTCCACACATCTCTGGTCATACCTGGATCCCTGACACTGTAGCTTAAGGGGAAACTGTTAGAAGGTGGTAAAAACATAGCTCAATCATGTGTTTTTACTGCACCAAAGCTGAAAGTGTAAACTAGGCGTCAAAAGAGCACGAGAAGCCTGTGTATAAAATTACTATTTTTGATCATTCTATTGTTACCTTGACGGTTACTAGACAACATGTTTAGTATTATCAAGGTTCTAAGACAACCTTGGGATGGGCAAAGTCACAAAATTGCATTTAGAGAACTGGAATAAATGTAGAGAGCCACTAAGAACTCCCCCTAATGTCAAATCTCATTCTTTATACAACAACAAAAAGTAGGCTTCTAAAAATATGCAAGTCTGCACTGCAACATTTAATAAAAATATGTGCTCACCAAAAATATAAAATATATTTCTCTTTAAATGGGCTGTCCAGTAAAAAGGCATGCAGCTTCCTCTGTAGTCCTCATTATTTTCTCTGTTGCTGCGGTAACAGAATACTGCTCTGTACGTTTTATTCCTCAACATCACTACACAGTACATCTAGATCCACCTTTCTATAAAATTTCCAGAAATCACTTGCTCACAAGTAATAGGATTTTTGGCCTACCATAAAGTCCTTTTCTTGGCATACATTAAGGGACACAGGATAAGTAGTTAATACATTGGGTTATGTTGCTGTCTTCAGGACTGCTGTAAGACAGCCTAGCATAACCCCTCCCACTCCTAGACTGCCTCAGTTTTATAGTATACAGTGAGGGAGTGGATCATAAGAACAGATGGGAGGGACATGTGCCTTTTCTTACTGTATACTGCAAGAAAAGGATTGGAAAGTCAAAAATCCCATTTCCTTAACTGTACATTAAGGTACACAGGAAAAGTCATTTAGATACATTGGGACATCCAAAAGCAGTCCAGCAAATGAAGGCTAACCAACCTTTGAGAACCAATGGGTTATTAAAGGGGACTAAAAAGAGCTGCCCGAAGAACCTTACCTCCAAAAATGACAGAACTGAAGAACATACACCCAGTAAAACCTATGAAATGTGTAAACTGAAGATTAGGTGGAAGCCTTGCAAATTTAAGAAACATATGTCTCATGCTGAAAAGCTCAAGAAACTGATCTTGTGGAATGCACTATGACATGGAAAGGTGGAACCTTGCCCTAGAATTCATAGGCTTGAATGATAACATGTCAAATCCACCTGGTATTAGTGGAACATAAAGCAGGCTTTCTCCTATGGGGACCTTCAAGAACGACGAACGTCAAACTGTCGAAAGGGAGCTGTAGCTGAAAAGTGCATACCACACCCAGACAATGAAGGGAAATATCATTAAGGATGCTTTGGAGCAGGACAGAGAGATGGTATAACATTGTTCTGGTTATGCTGAAAGAAAGAAACCACCTCGGAAAAGAACAAGAACTTGGGCTTCAAAAAAAACATTATCTTTGTTTAGCACAAGAAAGGGTTTTTACAAGTTTAGGCTGCCAAATCAGATTTGTAGAAGTGATGGCAATGAGAAAGGCAGACAAAGGAACATCTCTTATAGGTTTGAAGTGCGGTTTCTGAAGAACAAGGCTGAGATCTCATTGAGTCTGGGGAACCTACAGGAGGGACATTGTGAATGATGCCCTGTATGAAGGCCTTCACTAGCGAGTGAGAGGCAAGTGGTTTCTGAGAGGCTGACATTTGACCCTTGATGGTACTCTAAACCAAACATTGATCCAGACCAGCCTGGAAAAACCCACAGAATACTTCCTAGGATAGGATTTCCTTGCCTTCCACCAAAAGAAATGTTCTTTTCAGGTGTGATGGTAGTTTTTATGAGAAGTCAATTACCTAGCTTTTGATATTGTAGGAGTATACAGTGGTGTCAGGACTTTTGGTGCAGAAAAAAACACACAACCAAGTAGAAATCTTTAGAACTGCAACTATGACTGCGGGTAAAATGCAGGAAAACTGCGGATACACCAGCAATGTGTCTAAACCAAAGTAAACCAGTGTGAACCCACTTAAAATCACAAAGCACCAAGTCCTACCATAGGCTGATGACACAATTTTAAACTCTTTGGCTATTACAGCTACTGCTGGAGGACAAAGTAAAAAAGAGGGAGAGGGAATGAGATTTGAAGAAGAGAAGGTAGGCAGGGAGGGGGAAGAGTCTGGTTACAGTGCTCACTTTTGGATGGGACCTGGAGGTTCATCACTCAGAGGCCTTGTATTCACGTTGGATCTGCCGGCTGCTGTTCCCACCCACAAATCTCCTTCACTGCACTGCACGGGCTGCACAGAGTCTGGGCGGGCACGGGGGAGAGGGGTGGGAGAAGGCAGAACAGATCTCCTCTCCCATTTGTGCAAGGAGGAACTGAGCATTGTGACACTGTAATAACCACACTGTGCCAATTTTTTGGAAAAAAATTTTGAAATAAAATTGGTTTTATTTCATTTTTTTTTTTTTGCATACTGTCACCAGGGAAGTAAAGCATCATCATATGACTGGTGTGGTGATATTTACTTTTATTTCATTTTTTTAACTTATTTACAAATTTTTGTTCTTTTTTTTGTGACTAGGGCAGTAAAGTTTTACAGTAGTGGTGGTGATCAGGCATACTGACTGGTGACAGTATGTTAAAAAAAAAAAAGTTTTCTTTTTTTTTTTTTACAATTTTTTAAAATTTACTGTAATCAGAGCAGTACAGTGTTACCATAGTGAGTACTATAGAGTGAGTTGCTATAGAGTAGTACTCTGGGGAGGGAATCAGGATTTTTTTTTACACTATGTTTACTTATAACAGTGAGAATCACTTATATAAGCAATCATTTTTGTGAATCCATTCATGTCATTGTGTACAATTGTGATAGCTGTGATTGGCCCTGTCTGTACCATATGATCATAGCGAACCTATCACAGAGATCTCAATAGTACACAATGAATGGCTATGGATAAATAAAACATTGTGTACATTTGACATGTGATCACTGTGATTGGTTACACCGAGATCACATGGTACTGGGGGTGGCCGGGTACATTGAGCTGTCATCTGCTCAGTCCAGCGGACACAGTGAGTGACAGATCACACCGCTGCACATCCTCGTCCACCCAAAGTAATGGTGCTCGCACCCTGCCATCATTTTACAATAGGCTGGGTAGGGGTGGTTAAACACAGCGATGTCCTCAATAGGGACAGTTAGAGGGTTATTTACTAAAACTAGAGAGTTCAAAATCTGGTGCAGCTCTGCATAGAAACTAATCAGCTTTCATGTTTTTATGCGAAAGCCTAAATGAACAAGCTGATGTTAAGAGCTGATTGGCTACCATGTACAGAGGCACTAGATTCTTTGTGCACCAGTTTTAGTAAATCTCCCGTTATTACATACCAAGTGGATCAAACATATATTGCTGCATCCTCAGTCAGCAGGCTGGACTGTATCTCGTGATAGAAATACCCGATGTGTTTCAAAGTAAGGTTTTTCTTCTTCATGGGGTTTATAAATGTAGAATAACAGTACTTCACAGTAAAAAGTGCAGAAATACAAAAACAGCCATTCCTTTAAAACCCAAAAATTTGTTGTCATTTACTTCAAACCACCAAAGGGGTCATGAAGACAAGGCCACAGTGCCCAAGAGTCACTGAGGCCACCTGGACCAAAATGCGTGAATGCCAGTGGAGAAGAATAATATACAGGCCAAGAAACAGCCACCACTGGGGATTAATGTGGATCACTTATACAATAATGAGTTAAGCACAGGAGAACCTCCCAAATGCCCAGAATGCACTGAAAAGTGGCAAATTATTAACTATTTCAGACTGTTTTAGAGAAATACAGAGAGTAGAAGCAGAGACAGCAGTATATGTTGAGATGAGCTTAGGTGTAAGTTGCTCATTAACATTTCTTCTGTTTCCAAGGGTGGGAAAGGTGTCTGGTGGAGGGAGTCATTAAGGCCACCTGCCAGGGGGTCTTCATGAGGAATTTGAGGTGGGAATGGTCATTAACATATCTTTTGTTTCCAAGGGTGGGAGAGGTCTGAGGTGTGAATTGGTCATTACAATGTGTGACAAGCTTGGTAGAAACATTCTGTGGTCAGTGTTTTGTCCATCTTGAAAACGCTTTGCATGCATTTTTCATGATCAAAAAAGGCTCTGGACAGCATTGGGAACTGGAAGAGTTAAAGCGTTTTAGCCACGTTTACAAGCGATTTGCGTTTTGAAAAGCTGATAAAAATCGACTGCTGAATGCAAGTTTTCTGCGTTCAAAAAAACGACTGTAAACTCAACTGCCTGTAAACGACGATATGTACATGGGCACAAATAGTAAATAATTAACTATTTCAGACATTTTGACAGGAATAGAGAGAAAGCAGAAGCAGAGAGAGCAGTATGTGTTGAGATGACCTGTCTTTTCTGGTTGTATTCACTATGGATCCCATCATGAGCATAATGCGGCACGTTCTACCCATTTTCTCCTTCACGCAAAACCTGGAACTGACTGCGATGGTGTACCGGGTCCATTTGAATACATGGAAAATGCTTTGCATGCATTTCTGATGATGAAAAAAGGCTCTGGACAGCATCTGGACATGGAACAGTTAAAAAACGCTTCTAAATGCAAACGCTTATAAACGCGGTTAACCATGTTTACAAGCATTTACACATGTTTACAAGTGTTTGGCGTTTGAAACGCCAGTAAAATCTACACCTGAATGCAAGTTTGGTGCGTTAAAAAAAACGACTGTAAACTCAACTGACTGTAAATGACTGTAAATGACGATGTGTACATGGACACATATGAAAACATTAGGGAGAGTTCAGGTGCTACTGAAAAAAATGCTGAACAGCTCCTGAACGTCAGTTTATCAGCTGCAGTGTACATGAGCCCTTAGGGGGCTCAGCCAGGGGACAGTGATCCAGGTTGTTGGTGTAATTTCCTTTTGAGGGGCCACTGCAAGACCCCCTGGTATGTTTAAAAAATATTTTTACACAGCTTATACACTTTCTCACCTTCTCAAAGCATGGATTTAAGATTCTTGGATGCTTAGACTGGTGGTGTATGCACATACTCACTCCGGGTAACGTCTGTTTAGCTGCATTTGCATACCGCGTTTATGTGCATTTGCGTTTAGAAGCGTTTTTTAAAGATAAGTACAGGAGAACCTCCCAAATGCCCAGAATGCACTGAAAAGTGGTAAATTATTAACTATTAATTAACAGACTGTTTCAGAGAAAAACAGAGAGTAGAAGCAGAGACAGCAGTATGTGTTGACATTATCTTAGGTGTGAGTTGCTCATTAACATTTCTTTTGTCTCCAAGGGTGGGAAAGGTGTCTGGTGGAGGGAGTCATTAAGGCCACCTAGCAGGGGGTCTTCATGAGGAATTTGAGGTGTGAATGATCATTAAACATATCTTTTGTTTCCAAGCATGGGAGAGGTCTGAGGTGTGAATTGGTCATTACAATGTGTGACAAGCTTGGTAGGAACATCCTGTGTTCAGTGTTTTATCCATCTGAGTACCTTGAAAACACTTTGCATGCATTTTTCATGATGAAAAAAGACTCTGGACAGCATCGGGAACTGGAAGAGATAAAAAAATGTTTCTAATGCTTATAAACGCGATTTGTCGCGTTTAGCCGCGTTTTGCTTTTGAAACGCTGATAAAATCGACTGCTGTACGCAAGTTTCCTGCGTTCAAAAAATGACTGTAAACTCAACTGCCTGTAAACGACTGTAAGCGACGATGTATACATGGACACATAGGAAAACATTAGGGAGATATCAGGGACTGCTGAAAAAAACGCTGAACAGCTCCTGAACGGTTTCATCAGCTGCGGGAGCGTACATGAGTCCTAAGACAGCTTGGTTTGCTGGCACCTAAAAGTAATTAAAGTGTTCCTAAACCCACAACAGTAAGATCAGTCTGTATATGAGAGTAAAGCATGCTTGTTCATGAAAACAAACAAATTAGCGCGCAGCGCCTTCCTACTAATAGACCATCTTACAATCCTAATACCACCCCTAAAAATTCATAAATATACACAATTGGTAAAAAATAATCATGTTCACAATAGTGAAGTTATATAAAGTCGCCCAGATATCTTATGTTGACTCTATCTTCATGAGGCATAAACCTTCTTCCTCCATCCAACACCCAGATTGTGCTCTCACAAAGCTTTTTGACCTCATAGCATAATCCCCTTTTACGCCACCATGCTTGTGTCTTCTACAGAGGGACTGAAAGTGCAAAAGGCCGATTTTCCCTAGTCTTGACACTCCTTCAGACAACACCAGCAGACTTAGAATCTTGTATCTCCTCCTCCTCCTCTTCCCAGCAGTCCATTAAAAAAAACTGGACAGAAATAGCGCTTTATCGTTTATAACACTTATTTAACCCCTTGGTGCCGGCGCCTCCCAGCCCTTTAAGGGTTTCAGAAGCCGGGAGGCGGGGCGGGGTTTTAGGGTCATGTGATTTTCCGTCACGGTGGTCACATGATCAGGAAAGGTCCTGATCGTAAAGAGTACTTGACGTGTGCTGCAGCGCGCAGTTTAGTGTGCGCTCTCAGCACATATGTTTTTCCTAATTGCACGCAAATGTGCGGCCCCCCCGCTTGGCATCAAGGTTGGCAAAAGTGCCACTCACAAGTTTTAGGGTGCTAGGGATCGCACCAGATATCAAACCACATACCAGCAATACACTTCCTCCATTATCCTCCTCTGATCAACAGTTGACATCAGCTAGCCTCTCCCCCTATGCATTACGCCACAGGTCATGTGACTTCCACAGAGGGATGTGGTTTTTCAATGAAAATAAGGCCGATTTCCATGAACTCTAGTCTTGGCTTTTGCAGACAACACCATGGAGACCAGCATGCTTGTTATACTCACTGTGGAACCTAAGGGGTTAATTCTCTGCGTTGTGTAAAAAAGGCTGTTTGATCCTTTCTTCATTGATTAATTTCTGTCCGCAGTCCCCAATATACAGTGGGGCAAAAAAGTATTTAGTCAGCCATTCAATTGTATGGGCAAGTTCTCCCACAAAAAAAATAGAAGATCTAAATGGGGACGGGCATCATAGGTAGACCTCACTGCTGCGGAGGTGAAATGAGAAAAAAAAATGGACAGATATCACATTGGCTGATTTGAAAGAATTTATTTGCAAAAGGTGCACAAACACCAGGAGGGTCACCTGTAAACAAGCACTATGACCTGAGCTCTCACTTGCCTGTACCTTGGTTTTTACATTGCCTGACGTACCTCAGGTCCATGCAAATTACCTGTATCAATGGCTAACCTGTTCTATACACTTGTTATCAGTATAAAAGACACCTGTCCACAACCTCAAACAGTCACACTCCAAACTCCACTATGGTGAAGACCAAAGTCTGCTGTTGAAGGACACCAGAAACAAAATTGTAGACCTGCACCAGGCTGGGAAGACTGAATCTGCAATAGGCAAGCAGCTTGGTGTGAACAAATCAACTGTGGGAGCAATAATTAGAAAATGGAAGACATACAAGACCACTGATAATCTCCCTCGATCTGGGGCTCCACGCAAGAATCTCAGCCCCCATGGGGTCAAAATGCATCACAAGAACGGTGAGCAAAAATCCCAGGACCACACTGTCTTCACCTTTCTGAATGACCTGCAGAGATTTTCCCTTCAGTTTAACAAAGGTACCATGCAGTAACTCACTACGCCGCCAGGGACTCAGATCCTGCAGTGACCCGACTTGTCCCCCTGCTTACACCATAACATGTCCGGGCCCGCTTTCTGAAGTTATGCTTGAGAGCATTCCATCTGCATGTGAATCCAGAAGAGGTTGTGGAGAATGCATATGGTCAGATGAAACCAAAATAGAAACTGTTTGGTAGAAACACAACTGCTCGCTTTGTGTTTGCAGGACAGAGAATGCTGAGTTGCATCCAAAGAACACCATACCTACTGTGCAGCATTCACAGCATGGGGGGGGGGTGGCAACATCATGCTTTGGGGCTGTTTCTCCGCAAAGGGACCAGGATGACTGAGCCATGTACAGGACAGAATGAATGGGGCCATGTATCGTGAGATTTTGAGTGCAAACCTCCAGTTCCATCAGCAAGGGCATTGAAGTTCCCAAACATACCGCCGAAGGAGTGGCTTTACGTAAGAAGCATTTCAAGGATCCTGGAGTGGCCTAGCCAGTCTCCAGATCTTAACCCCATAGAAAAACCTTTGGAGGGAGTTGAAAGTCTCGTGTTGCCCAGCGACAGTCCCAAAACATCACTGCTCTAGAGAGATCTGCATGGAGGAATGGGCCAACATACCATGCAACAGTGTGTGTCAACCTTGTGAAGGGTGTTTTCTTACAGGAAACGTTTGACCTCTGTCATTGCCAACAATGGATATATAACAAAGTATTGTGATGAACTTTTCATATTGACCAAGCTACTTATTTTCCACCATAATTTGCAAATAAATTCTTTCCAAATCAGCCAATGTGCCTGATTGTCTGGGTTTTTCTTGCTCATTTTGTCTCTCATAGTTGAGCTTACTTATGATGCCAATTACAGGCCTCTCTCATCTTTTTAAGTGGGAGAACTTGCACAATTGGTGGCTGACTAAATACTTTTTTGCCCCACTGTATCTGCTGATAGTACAGAGCCTTGGATACACACCCTGCACATGCTCAGTTTGAGTGTGAATTGCTAGAGAGGTCTTTTTGGTTTGGGGGGGGAATGGTGCATATGATTGGCACAGGGCCAATCAGCAGTGTCCAGGGGGTCAGGGGTCATGCAGCCTCATAGGACAGTCAGAGGAGAGTTGAAAACTCCTCCTAAAGGTTTAACCAGAGCTCGGCTTGACACTGATAGCAGTCACAAGACTGCTATATACTGTTCATGAGAAAAAGTATTTAGTTACTTTATATTTATAAAGATAATTGCATTTCCATGTTCTGTGTACCGTGGGAGACAAGATATAGTGAATGCAGGGTAATGGTCTAGAAACACTTGCCTATAAAAAGAGTTCACATTCTCTGTGTTGAAAATGCCAAAAAAGCTAAACTGAAGATGGCCTCACAAGCATCCTTTTTCCTTTGCAATATAATTTTATGCGGGGACACCTGTCATGGGGGGTATGGACTTTCCCATTCACTGTATGGGAGTTGCTCCTAGAACTAAAAATAGAAGATCTAAGATGGACTGGCCCTAGGTGACCGTATCTTTGGATGCTTGGAGGTGAAATGCTTTTCTGCTTATTGGACAGATCATGCACATACTGTGAACGGGAGCCTGCCCTTGCACTACACCTTCTGGCTATTTAAACTGCACTTTGACCTGAGGTCCTTGCTGATTTGGTTTATTACAGCTTGCCTGACGTATCTGATACCTGTTCCTGTGTTGACTCCATTTCCAACTTGGTCTTGCTGCTCTGTCCCTGCCTGAATGCTGCCTGCACTGACCCCTGGTTTGTCTTTGGATTTTCGACTCTGCCTGCTCCTTCTGCTTATCCAGTCATCTGCCTACTGTTATCAATCCTGGCCTGCCCTTGACTATTCTTCTGCCTGCTGTATTGTACTTTCATCTGCCCTTCAGTTGCCGATCTGGACTGCCTAACCCAGCTCTCCTGCATCTGAACCTGCTGACCTGTGCCTACCTCCAGTTCTGCTCTTCCGCTAGCACTGCCTATTCTCAGCAACGCACAGCCTGCTCTTCAGCAACGCACAGCCTGCTCTTCAGCAACGCACAGCCTGCTCTTCAACAACGCACAGCCTGCTCTTCAGTAACACACAGCCTGCTTTTCAACAAATGCACAGCCTGCTCTTCAACAACGCACAGCCTGCTCTTCAGCAACGCACAGCCTGCTCTTCAACAACGCACAGCCTGCTCTTCAACAACGCACAGCCTGCTCTTCAGCAACACACAGCCTGCTTTTTCCTGCTTTTCAACAACTCACAGCCTGCTCTTTCACAACACAGCCTGCTCTTCAACAACGCAGCCTGCTCTTCAGCAACGCACAGCCTGTTCTTCAACAAACGCACTGCACTGCTCTCTTCAGCACACAAAGCACTGCCTGCTCTTCAGCAACACACAGCCTGCTCTTCAACAACACACAGCCTGCTCTTCAGCAACACACAGCCTGCTCTTCAACAACGCACAGCCTGCTCTTCAACAACGCACAGCCTGCTCTTCAGCAACGCACAGCCTGTTCTTCCACAAAGCACAGCCTTCTCTTCAGCAACGCACAGCCTGTTCTTCAACAACGCACGCACTGCTCTCCAGCAAAGCACTGCCTGCTCTTCAGCCTGCTGGCACACTTCACAGCCTGCTCTTCTGCTCTTCGGGAACGCACAGCCTGTTCTTCCACAAAGCACAGCCTTCTCTTCAGCAACGCACAGCCTGTTCTTCAACAATGCACAACCTGCTCTTCGGCAATGCACAGCCTGCTCTTCAGCAACGCACAGCCTGTTCTTCCACAAAGCACACCT